GATTACCAAAGGACCATGTGACTGCTCAGTTGCTTCAGCTTTCTGGAGACAATAAGCTGGTACTGCACCTAGGTACCAAGAGGCCTACCTCACCCAACACTGCAATGGCCTCATCTGATTGGCTGACGGCCTTGCCTTAGATGACAACACCGGATTCCATTTCATTCCGTCCCCAGGTGGAGGAGTTGGAATCCCCACACTTATCTTGAGGGTACACAATTCAGTTCCTAACAATCTCATGAATAGAAAGCAGGGGTCTAGGTCATGGGTAAGAAAGGCCTGTCACCCTGGGGGGCCACCACAAGGAGCCTTTGTGCTCCTGTCCCTTCAGCACTAAGCACTTGTGGGCTAGAGTTCATGGTTCCTGGGAGCTGGTGGGGGACATGTGTACTAGGCGGCTTGGAAGAAGTCCTGTAGTCCTAGAAGTTGTGTGGATTAAGGGCCAATAACACTTTTAAAAGAAAAAAAAAAAGTAAGGTTGATGCCCGGCCATTTGGGTTTCTCATGTTAGTAACTAGAAAGGGAGGTGATACTATCCTGGCAGAAATCAATGGATGGCTGTCGTGAGGAAAAGGAGGCCGGGATGGAGACAGCAGAAACACCTGCAACGCTCGTGGGACCCACCAGGGGGCCTCTGTGGGCTCCCATGCTTGATAAACATACACTGGCAGTTTCAGAGCACCCATGGGACTGGAGAAGAGCCACAAAATCAGGTGGTTAGACTCTTCACGAATGAAGCAGCAACCTCGACCCGCAGAAACTAACCAGCCAATGGTGGGTTTGCAGGGTGGTGAGCTACTTGATACAGTTCTTCTAGCCAGTCTTTGACTGGGCTGCTGCTAGTGTAAACAATGCACTGGCACCCATGGCTGGTAGGACCATGCAAATGAGATGCATGCAACTCTCACGTGGGGATTGGTCCATTTTGTTGGTTGGGTTTTAAGTGCGCCATCTCAGAAGCTAACAGCAAGGAGAGTCAGCACTACAGTGCATCCTTCGGACTCCAAGATCCCTATGTTGAACCTTGGTCTCAGAGCCTATTTCTCTGGCACCACCAGAGAAGCAACAGAGGGAGTGGCAGTCCAGGCAGCAGAACTAAGTGCCAGCGGCAGAGTGGTGGGCTTCCTGGCCCACAGAGCCAAAAAGCTGAGGACTTTCAGCAGGAGGTCACTTGCAGAGTGGGATACCTCCCCAGCATTTGTCTGGGGAGTGAGGTTTGCAAAATCACAGTGCTACAGATGAGCACCTTTGGACTGAGGCTTACTGGCCGAGTGGAGAGAGCCTTGTGGGTCTTTGTCAGGCAGAGAGGCTGAGGACCAGAGAGAAGCATGCCTGTGGACAAGGCTGAGCCTTTCGGATCCCGAAGGATAGCTCTCCCAATAAACCTCATAACTGCAGGCACGATCTGTGTGGCCATTGTGACAGATAAGCAAGCCCAGCAGAGGTCGGGAGAGTCCTGGAGGGGGGACGGTGGGTGTAGGAATTTGCAAAAATGGGCGGCGGGTGGAGGCCTATCTGACCTCTGCCTCATAGAAATTGGCCTTGGGCTGATGTTGAGTCTGATTCTCCTGCCCCTTTTAAAGCCAGAGGAGGTCAGACCCTCGTTTGAACAGTGGTCAAGGAGAGGAGTCTCAATGACGGGCTCAGGGCCAACTTCTGCAACAGAGACAAAAGCGCGCCCCACTAAACTTCCTGTTTCGTTTGTGCATGTTTGTTTGGACAATTGTGGCTCCACGTAGTGACAAGAGAGCGTAGAAGTCATGCGGGGCCGGGTAGGTCTGCACAGAGCAGGGGCACACACATCAATGGCTCATTCATGTTCGCTCAGCTGAACATTCCCTGAAATGCCCTCCAGCTGCCGACACCAGGAGCACGGTCCTTGCCGAGGGTCTGTCCCACCTCCTGAACCCACGCTGCTGGCCAGTAGGGCCAATGAATTGGTATTAGCCTCCACCGGTGGCTAATGGGAGCTGGCGACTCCGGGTCCCAGCGTCCTCACACCTCAGGGGAGATGCCTTGCAAGTGTGTGTTCTCCACTGTTTCCCAGGTTTCCCCAGCAGGATGAAGGTCTCTTTGCTCAGTGGGAACTCGTTTGATAATCCCCTTCCTTGTCTCACTTCCCCATTTCTTCACTGATGCTTCCGATAATCATCCCCCCCAGATAAGCTACTTGTTTATCTGCTAACGCCCTTATGTCCAAGTCAGCTTCTGGGGGATGGGGAGCCAAATGAAGATCTCAACCATCTAGACTCTCGAGCATAGGTCCCTAAATGTATCTAGCCCATCGCCCCCTCTTGAGAAAACAAAGAGCACACAGTGCCCCCTTGGCCATTTAAAACTTGGATGATCGTTCACCATCCAGGATAGAGTGGTGGTGTCAGGTGACCCTGTGCGCAGCAGAACGAAGCGCTGCCAGGCCCTGCGCCGGCCTCACCACAGTGCTTATGTTCAAGCCCATCGGTGCGTCTGGTCGCTATGTCAGTCCATCGCGTCCATCGTGTCCGAGGCCTCCTCGTTTGCACTGTCCTGCTAATCCTCCAAGCACGATGTCCTTCCCCGAGACTGGTCTTTCCCGACAACGTGTCCAAAGTGCAGGCATCCGCTTTTGCGCAGATCATCCCAGTGCCCCCTCGGGGCTGGGAGTATTGCCCACTTTCGGAAACAGGGATCTACAGAGTGGCTAGTAGTCACTAAACTTAGAATGTAAGTTTATTTGACAAATTCTGCAACCTTTACACTCCTCAGGCCTCCCTCCAGTGGTGGTTTCTCTGCTCTGTTCTCTCATAGGCCACGGGTTCTGTCAGAGAATCCACATTTGCTACTGTGTACACGGTTCTGGGGATCTAGCCATGCAAAGGGTAGGCAGGGGCCAGCTCCTAAGGAAATGACCATCTAGGAGGGAGATAGATACTGAACAGTTCATTTCAAGGGGGAGTCCTGTAGGCTGAGTGAAATGAGTCAGTCACTAAGCAACACATATTCTCTGATTCCACCCAGAGGAAACACCCAGGATGGGTGGCAGGTAAACAGAGCCCAACGGTCATGAGTAGTTACCAGAAGTGGCAGGGAGGGAGGGGCAAGGGGGCCACTCACTGCTTAGGGGACTCCAAGGGTCTGTTCATTGTGATGAGAAATTTCGGAAATGGATCACGGTGATGGCTGAAGAACATGATAACCAACTCATTGTTGAATTATACACAGGAAGAATGTTGAAAAGGGCAAATAATGTGCTACATATATACTTACTACAATTTTCCCCCAAAGCCTGAGTTATGTAATTACAAGAAAAAACGAAGGCAGAGCAGACAGAGACAGAAAGGAGATCCAACCAGGTCTGGAGGTTGAGCTGGCACCCCCCTTAGGAAGGGACATGGTGACTGACTCCTGAAGATGGGAGGAGGTGGTGTGGTGCCAGTCTCCACTTGGTCTCCTGGCCCAGCTCTGCATTGCTCTGTTGCTGAGCAATGGCAAACGTGACAGAGACAAATCCTGCTAGACCAGCATAGGTACATTGGGAGATAGGAGCTTTTGACACATGGAATCCAGGATGGATAAACCCTCAGAAACAGTAAAGGGAGTAACGATTCCATGAGGGTACAGGAAGCGGGGAGGGAGGGGGGAGGGAGAACTGATAGCAATGATGGATGCATAGCCCACCTCGAGGGGGATGAATAACAGAACTGTGTGTGAAGTGACACATCGGACGGTATGAGATATGAAACATAAAAATAATAGTATATAATTTATTAAGGGTTCACAGGGATGGTAGCGTGGGGGAGACGGGAACAAAGAGGAGCTGATATCAAAGGGCTCAAGTAGAAGGAAAATGTTTTGAAAATGATGATGGCTGCATCTGTACAAGTTCACTTTGTGTAATTGATTTATGGATTGTTATAATATCTGTAAGCCCCAATATCTGAGGCCCCAATAAAATGATCAATTTAAGAGAAAGAAAGAAAGCCAGGCAGTGAGAGCAGGTTAAGCCAAACCTGCTAAGCAAATCCCCAATCACAAAGAAACGTTTATTGTCCTTCATTCCTAGCAAACTGAAAGAGCAACTCAGCAGAGAGATCATTTTCCATGCACAAAACACCTTGTATTTTGTGTATTGGCACTGGTCAGTACAGAGATACAAAATCCCTGAGGAATTGCCAGCCATCAGTAAAATACTACACACCGAATGCCCTGAGTTTGAAGGGGAACGTCCTGAGTCTGTTCGGTTTGGGGAGTCAGTGGCTCTTGGCCCTCAAGTTCGTTTCGCAAAAGGACATCCAACTGATGCAAGTTTCCTGCCTTGACAAGAAGCTACCACACTTGGGAGCATCTTAAATCAGAGACGTTGTCTTCTTTTAGTCAACGTGCCCAAGGTTCTGGGATAGCTATTGCAGAGATCAAGGGAGAAAAAAAGATTAGATCTTTGTAGCATCTTAGGACTTCACGGCATACTGTATAAGAGCCAAACCCAACACCCAACTCACTGCCACCGAGTAGATGTCCGGCTCATCATGACCCCGTCGGACAGACTAGAACAGCCCTGGTGGCTTTCCAAGGCTTTCCATCTTGACAGAAGCAAACAAGCCTTCTCTTTCTCCCACAGAGCCACTGGTGGTTTTGAACCTCTGAGGTTATGGTGAGCAGCTTAGTGCGCAGCCCACTATGCCACCAGGGCTTCTGTATAAGTGCTGGTGCTGTGTGCATTGTTCATTAACTAAACCATCCCACACTTCCTCACAGGGTGTGAACGGTTTTGTTTTTTAAAAATGGCACATATCCTCCCTGCTGTTCGTGGGTGACAAGATGAAGGCCTAAATAGATGTGAGGAGAGAAGAGCGACACTTTTAGAGTCTGGCGAAGGAAAGGTTTTTCTATGTAGACCCACAGTTGAAGATCAGCTTTAGAACTAGAAAATTTTCCTGCATCCAGACACCTTCATTTCATTGATTCCCAGATCTTTCTTCCCCTCCCCAGCCTTCCCCACACAAATACTTCCAAGTCTCAAATTTGTATGGTCTTAGCCATCAATGACTTCCCTCAGGTTTATTGGCAACTCTCCCACCTCACCCTTCTTGGTGGTAAATAAAACAACGCTGTGCTTTACAACTGATGGCTTTTTAGATGCATTCAGTCCACCATGAGATCTGCATTAAAATAAAGCTGACGTTTTAAATAAGGCAACTTTCCCAACTGAAAACAATGCTGGCGAAAATGTTTGGTGTCTCAGCATGAGCCTTGGAGCCTCCAGCCAGGTGAGAAGAAGGCGATGTAGGATGAGCCTGGGCTCGGGTTCTGGTTCTGCCTCTAACCAGCTGAAGAAATTGGTTGAACATGCATGGACCTGGCTTCCTCATCTGTAAAACCGCCTGTGTGATCAGTTGGCTTCTAGGTCCACCATCGCAAAGGAGGACGAGTTAAATGCTTGCATGGAGAGTGTGCACCTGTGGAAATCCATAGCCAAGCCACCATCCTCTGCTGCTCTTGACAACCCAAAGGAGTCTGGTCAACAGGCTGCTGGTGCAAGTTCTTCTGCACGGAATCCCCAAACTTCTCTGGCTTCCCAAGCCAAAAGCACAATGCACTCACAACTTTAGTAATTGATTGGGAATGGGTGATTCTTCATTGGGAACGGTGATTCTTCAGGCTAGGCAATTTATAAACTTCTTCAGAAATTGGCAGAGCCCCTACTAGCTAAAGTTGATCTACCACAAATTTTAAAATATCAAAAAATTACTGCAAAGTTTCACTTCAGTGTCTTTGTGATTGACACGCATTGGCTATAGATGTGGCCACTCCAGGTGCCTCCTTCCATGCCGTAGAAGCACTAGTCAAAACAAACAAACAAAAAGCTTTATTTTCCGGAAGAAAATAAACTAAGAGGAGTCATCTGGATGAATCATTCATGTCAGCACCCCTCTCCTGCTTTGAGGGTGCATTCCAGATGAAAAACTGTGCCTGACCAAGGAAAACAATAAGTGGGGAATGGACATTCCAGGCCATGAACACGAATCTGATGATAATAGCGGTGTGTTAGTAACTACTAGGTGTATATTTTTTAATGAAGACTTTTAAATCCAAAAGTTATAGTCTGTCTTTACCTAAGCATGTTAGAAGTAAAATGAAAAGAGTAGCTAAAGGCAGTAACAACATAACACACCACAGACTCCACAACCTTTCTATTTAAATTTCAATTCCAAGATCCAGTCAAGGGGTTCCAGATATTGTTATGTTGCTTACATAGGTTATTAACTAAGCGAGGCTCCCTTTCTTAAAAGTCTCTTAAATTCGGCCAATCACACATGTACATACTGAGCCTCTCTCTACTCATTGAGCTGGCGGCAGCACGACTGCAAGACAATGCAATGAAAGATCTGTGGCCCCTCCTACATAATCTGTTGTCAATGTGAGACGCAAGAGTGAAGGGGTGGAGTTTAGCCTGTCAATCGGGTCCCAGCTTGATGACCTCATTTTCAGGCTCCACGGAGATAAATAGCTCCCTGGAGGCCACATACAGACTCTCTGCTTGGTATTCCTCATGAGAAGACACATAGAGCTACACTAGAGCCCTGGAGCTGAAGGAGTCACCTGGAGACCCCTGCCAGCACGGAGATACCTCTACCACCACTGTATTCACAAGACTTTGTACCCACTGGCCTGTGATCTTCCTGCATTCAGCATCATTGCATGTGTTTGTGAGTCTGAAGAGGATTTTATAGATTGGTATTGGACATATGGGCTAATATCGGACTTATGGACTTGATCTGGACTTGGCTGGAATGTTTTCTCAATATTCAATTGCTCTTGTATATAAAGCTCTTTTTAATAAACATATGAGAGTTCCCCTGGATTTGTTTCTCTAGTCTACCCGGACTGACACACCTGGTTCTAATTCATTCCATAAAGTCGTCTTTATCAGCTGTGGTCTTGCCTGGAAGATGATTGGAAATAGCTTCAGAGGAAAGGACGGGCAAGGCACCTCATATGAGTTGGCACCCTCTGCAGACTAGAATCCATGAGGCGGGAGGGGTTGCGTCACCCATCCTCAACCATGCTCCGGCCAGCCTAGATATTTGGGGCCAGGGCACCTGATCTGGAAGTCCTTCATGCCGCCTCAGGTGGTGGCTGAGGTCAGAGTGCTGGCTCTTAGAAGGAATTCTTTGGTGTGCAAAGTGTAGCTGGGGGCAGGCTGGCTGGTCATGGAATGAGATCCTACCTGTCCATTGGTGGCCGAGGGGCCCAGCATTGAGTGCTCTGCTGGTCTGAGGAGGGGGAGTCCAACTGCCTTCAGACGTGGGGGTGGTGCACCTGTCACCTGAGCCACAAGGACACAACTCTGACCTCGGGATGTGTGTGGGTTCATCGCTGCTGGGTGGGTGAGGGTGGGGGCTGGCCATGTTTTTGGTCACCAGGAGGGTGTGGAGAACAAGAAAGGACCCCACTCCTTCCTTGCCACACGTGTGCCAGACCATGGTCTGGGCAGAGCACTGCTGGCAGAAGTTCGAGATGGTCACGTAGCATCAGACTAGCTGACGATTCCCTGGTCTGCCTCCTCTCCTTGCCCTTGTTCAGCTTCTTCCCCTGGTTTGGTATTCAACCCACTTCCCCTCCTTCTTTCTGAAGCTCAGGGTTCCAGGATCATCATCCTGTTTCCTTTGGTCTCTCGTGTCTCTGTTGCTGAGGGTCTGTGTAGCATCGCTGTCTAGTTCGCCATCTTGCCGAAAGCCCCACCCAATGTGGGCATTTGGTTTTGAAAATTCATGTCTAAGTGGACCTGTGCCGCCCAAACTGGTGCTAACCTGCAGAGTCATAGCCCAAGATAGGTCCCTGTGGGTCGTATGTGAGCAGTTTCCTTTCGTGGAATTCCAGGGTGGTACAGACAGTTAAAATGCTTGCCTGCTCCCTGCACAACTGGAGGTTCAAGCCCACCCAGAAACCCCTTGACAGAAAGGCCTGAAGATCACTACTGAGGAGCCTGCCATTGGAAACCCTGCAAAGCCCAGTTCTCTGTCACAAAGGTAGCCGGCAGGAGTCGAACAGATTGGACACAATCTGGTTTGGGCTTTGCACTGCGCTGGATCTTTGGCTCCTGAGGCATCCCCTTACGCTTATGAAGACTGACTGGACTGTGGGGCATGTTACTAAGAGCTGAGTGTCAAAGAGATGTGCCACCATGTCGTCCTGTCAGGGGTCACCTGAGAGGTCTATGGACTCAATGTGCTATCATTTGCATCATTTTCACTGGCTTTGCTCTACCTGGCTATCCCCCTTCTCAGGAGCCCTGGTGGTGTAGTAAGTTACGGGTTAGACTGCTACCCCCAAGGCCAGTGGTTTGATGCCACCAGTAGCCTCGAAGGAGGAAGATGAGGCTGTCTGCTCCCATAAAGATTTACAGCCTCAGAAACCCAAAGGGACAATTCCACTATAAGGTCCTATGAGGTCACTAGGAATTAAAACTGACTCCAGGGCAGTGGGTTTGGGTTCGGTCCCCTACCCACTGGATGTGGAGTGTACACGAGAGGCTTAATGACTTTAACAGTGAGGAGCCAATGTACTTTATCAGTGAGCTTTGCCTTGAGATGTGTAATAGCTACAAAAGAGCCTCCCAAGAGCAATAGCACTTTATAGACTAATGGAAGAAGTAAACGCCTCTCCTTCCAACAGGCTTGAGTATGCTCCAGTCCCCCTTCCGCAGTCCCTGCCAGTGGTTCTCAACCTCCCTAATGCTGCAATCCTTTAATGCGGTTCCTCATGTTGCGGTGACCCTCAACCATAAAATTAGTTTCGTTGATACTTCAGAACTGTCATTTTGCTACTGTTATGAATTGGGCGAGCCCTGTGAAAGGGTTGTTTGACCCCCAAAGGGTTGCGACCCACAGGTTGAGAACCGCTGGTCTGTATGGTCACCCTGCAGAAACATCACATCTACCAGCGAGCCGGCCTAATTGTAAGGCCAGTGTGGTTTGGGTTGTTCTTGGTTTTTTCCTGCTCTTCCAGTTTTTCGCTTCTAACCTTCGCAGAGATCCAGACAGACTATAACTTTACGCATTTTCCCTTCCCTGAAGCAGTGGTTATCACCTCATTCCATTTTTCACTGCTCAGAATATCCATTCCCTGCCATTTGTTCCCAGCGTCAAAGGCTTCAAACATGTCACCTCCCGTCTCAATGTGACTCCGTGGGAATGAATGGTTCTTACCATTGAGGCTACTGATAGAGCAGACTGTAGTTGTCAACCAAAGAATATTCTGGATCATCTGCAAGAGACAAACAAAGGTAAGTGCATATTTTTCACAAGATCCTGGCCCTTTTCAAACCAGAGTATTCCGCTTAAAGGACCTAGTGCCTACCTTTGTTCTTTTTTAAGAGGAAATTTTAATAAGAACAAAACTTACAAATGCTCCTATTGATTTCTCTCCATCCCAAACAAATAAGCTTGAAGAAAATGAAAGATACATGGAAACAAGTCATCCAAAGGGTTAACGGACCATGTGACTCTCAATCTCCTGAGACCAGAGAGACAAGATGAGGCCCAGCTACCCCACCCAGCAGACTACACTGGACGGGATCACAAGAGAAGGTCCTGGATAAAGTGGAAGAAAAAATGTGGAGCAAAAATCCAACTCAACAAAAACCAAGCTTAAGTGTTGGGGTAGAGACCGGTGGAACCTTAGAGGTGATTTGAGTTGCGTTTGGGGCGTGGATAGGAACGCATTCCCATGGCTCAGTTTTCAGTGAGGTCTGTGGTGAACAGTAGGTAGGTAACACTGGGGAGGTCTGCATGGCTTAGAACAATGAGTCATTTGAGATCGAAAGGGCCACACGGACAAAGGGATAAAAAGGGAGGAGAGATGGACAAAGTAATACAGAGAGGAAGTAAGATAAGCGATCATGCATTGTGGGGATTGCAGTCAAATATAGGAACCGTGTGTGAATTGTTGTGTGGAAAACTACTTTGCTCTGTAAACCTTCACCAATTCACAAAAAAAGTTAAAACAAAAACTTACAAACGGGAGTCCTGACTCTGTGGCCAATGGCAATTGCCAGAGAGTTCTGGTAATTACTTTTATGATTCAGGTGCCCTTTTCAACCACATCCAGCCAGATCACCCACAGTAAAGTCCACTCAGAACTGGACAGTAAAGTACCAGGTGATCAGATGATCTTCATAAGACAACAAATGAGGATGACTTACATAAAATCTTCTCCCGAGATTTCAGCTCAGCCACTAGTTTCTTTTTCATGTTATTGTGGTAAAACACATGTAACAAAACATCTGCTATTTTAAACCATTTTTAAGAACACAATTGGGTGATATTCGCCATGTTGTCTAGCCGTCTATTTCTAAGTTTTTTGTCATCCCACACAGGACGTCATCCCCCTTAAGCACTAATGCCCGAATCTCCCCCCCACTCGCCCCTCCAACCACACCGCCCCTTACCCCTGGTGACCTCTAATACACTTGTGTCTCCAGGCATTTGCCTCGTCTAGATATTTCATATTAGGTGATTCATATAATACTCGCCCTTTTGTGTCTGACTTATTTCACTTAGTTTAACATTTGCAAGGCCCATCCATAATGTAGCATGTATCCAAGTTCATGTCTCTTCCTGGATATGCCTCAATTTGTTTTCCATTCCTGTGTTGGTGGACCTGGGTTGTTTCCCCCTCTTGGCTATTGTCATTAATGCTGCAACGCGCACAGGTCTGCAGATAACTACTGGACGCATACTAGCCACAACGTTTTCGTTAAGTTGCTCCGGGCAGCCTCATGTTTCCAAAGGCAGATAGATCTGTCTTTCTCTTATTCAGATAATAAATCTTTTCTGAGGTTCTACTCTGTACCCAATACCATGCTTAGGGTTGGCGGTGGTACAGGAGAAGACTGTCTCTACCCTCAAGGACCCAAACCCCGGGAATACAATGAACTAGAAATGCTTACATGTGGAGTTCTCCCAGAAGTATCATGGGAGTTCAGAGAAAAAAGAGACTAGTGTAATCAATGACAGATCCAATCACGGACAGTGTACAAAACACAATGCTAAGTTATATATTTGTGTACATCTATTTGTATACCACTGCCAGCCAGTCGAGTCCTACTCATAATGACACTGCAGGGCAGAGTAGAACTGCCCCATGGGGTTTCCAAGGCTAATCTTCATGGGAGCAGTCAGCCCTTCTTCCTCCTATGGAGTGGTTTGAGCCGTCGATGTGTGGTAAGAGCTGAGCTCTTAACCACTGCGCTACAAGGGCCCCTGTGTACAACCACATGCCCTATAAATTATATTTGTACATAATCAAGAGGGAGCTCTATTGTCATTCAGTTCTCTCGTGGCCCCAGTGGAAATATGCTCTCAAGTAAGACTGCCTCATAGTAAACTCCTTTTGGCACATCAGTAACTTAATTCCCTTGGATAAACGAGAAAATAGACTACACATCACCAAATTCCACTCTGTAGCAGAGTTCTAGCAATATTCCAATATGGGCTCATTCTCCTGGGAATTGGATTCTATTCATTCCTTTCTCCCAAAGGTCTAGCTCCTCCACCCCAAAGGAAATGAGGCCACAAGCATTTCAAAAGGCGTGTCCTGACAACATACCTGGTGCATTTCTAGGAAGTGGGAGAGGTCCTCTCCTGTAAGAAATTAAAAGCAATGTCTTTCAGATACATTCTGGCTATTTCGATACCTTCCAACTTCACAGCCTGTTTGTGCTCTGGAGGGTCAGTAAAAGCTCAGACCAAGCGGAAGATCAGAGACACTGACATGCGGAAGCCTTTAACCTTTCAGACACACTATCAAGTTGAGAGGCAAGATTGCCCCGTGGTTAGAAACACGGATCCTGTCCCCAATCCGGGGGTAGGATTAAAGCATGACCTCTGTGAGCAGAGCCCCTGAGGGCCTTTGGCCTCAGTCTCTTCTTCGGTTAAGCTGGAGAAGCCAAGAGCACGCATCACGGTGAGGGTTACTCGAGTTAACGCATGGAAACATTGTGAGCAGTCCCTGTCATGCCCAAACAGTGACAGTGACCCAGCAAGCCCTTCCCCTGCCCAGCCCATCTTCACAAAACTGGACTGAGAATTCCACAGCTGGGCTCCCAAGCTGACTTCATGTGAAAGGGCAGTCTCTCACCCCCTCAGGAGCCTTGATACCAGGGGACAGCCAGTGTTTTCTATAGAGAGCCAGAGAATCAGTCATACCATTTGAATTCTGTGCTGCTGACATGTGTCTGTCCCCGCTACCCAGGTCTAGCACAAAAGCATCCGTGCACAAAACATCAGCCCCTCGGGAGGTCACGTGCCAAGAAAGCTTTTTACAGGAACACTGAAAACTTAACAGCACATCATTTTCACGTGTCATGAGACCGTATCCTTTTCATTTTTTTCACCAATTATTTACAAACTCTTCTTAGCTGACAGGTCCTACCAGAAACAGGAGGGCCAGGCGGGAAGCACAGACAGTTATTGTTCCTGACAGACAACAGGCCATCAGAAAGGCCGGGGATTCATAAAAGACTGGCGCAGGATCCAGTCCTCCTTGAACTACGATTCATACAAGCCGTCTAACATTTGGCCTGACAATGCTATTTCCAAAATCCCAGCACCTCCACTGAGCAAAGGTAGTGAGCAAAGGTAGTTCAAATTTGAACATGCCTTAGAGCATTCATGAGAAAGAGTTTATGAAAAGCGCCTCCCCCCGGAATTGGTGTCTGTTCGGCTGTATAAATTCGCAACGACCACCATCTAAATGGTCGATGGATACATCTCCATCTTTCTTCAGGTGAAAGGCAGCTGGTTCCCACCTCGGCACGTTAGGTCCCGTCGGCTTTCCTGGTGGGGATGCACTCTTCTGGGGGCTGTAGAAGTTCTCGTACAAGATCGGTGCTAGGAGAGTCGACAAGAAGCAAAACCGTAAGAGGCCAGTGTCTTCCAGCCCCGGCAAGGTGGCCGGCAAGGTGAATCCAATGATTTTAACCACACGGTCGCTTGCCCCCACCGCCCAGTCACCTGGTGGACTCTGCCCAGTTTTCCGTTGATTCACAAAGTACTCAATGTCGTTCTCGATGCTGCATATTTCCAAGCTCTTGCGGACTTTTTCATACATCTGACAACGAGAGGGAAGATACGTCAGTGGGCAGAGGTCTGCCCGTGTGCGTTTGCATTCAAAAAGCGCCATGCATGAAGACACAGCACAACTCAGAATTGAACAGCTCACCCTTCTCTGGATCTAGTTTTGAAAGGAAAAACAAGATACTCCCAAGTCCTAGGCTCCAGTGAAGGGGTCCTCTCAGCAGAGCTATTGTTAATTTTTAAAACAAACTAAATAAAAGGAGGCTTTGCATCTTTGGGGGCAGCACAAATCCCTAGGTTAAGAGATTTTTAAAATATGCTGATGGGACCAAAAAGGAAAAAGATACCAAAGCCGGATGCCACACACAAAAGGCATATTCGCTTGAAAAAAGTTCTGCCGTTCCGTCCAGGTTTTCTGAAGGTTTAATTGCTCTCCTCCAGCGAGTCTTTCATTTCAAGACCAAGCAAACTGACCGCCACTGAGCAGATTCTCGGGCAGAGCAAGCCTACGGGGCAGGACAGAGCTGCCCCTGGGGGTTTCCAAGGCCATGGGTTTTGCAGAAGCATAAAGTCTTCATCTTTCTTCCAAGGAGCGGCTGGTGGAGTCCAAGCTTGTGGCTAAAAGCACGATGTGTAACCCACTACGCCACCGCCACCGGGGATCCTTTCCCATGACGAGCGAGGACGTCGGAGCCCTGGTAGCTCTGTCAGACAAGCAGTGGACTGTTGGCTACCCACGCGGTGGCTAGTTCAAAACCACCAGCCACTCCTCTGGAGAGAGATGAGGTTTACGGCCTCAGAAACCTCACGTAGTCACTGTGAATCAGAACTGACTCAATGGCAGTGGTTTGGTTATTTTTTGGGTTGTTTCTTGGTGCTGGGTCCTCTGAGAACTGAGAACCCCGTGACTATTGCTGCAAACAAGTTCAATAAGCATGGACGGTGGCTTTGGGAACCCTGACTCCAGGAGTGACCACATGCCTGGGGCTGGGCAGTGTGTTCTGGCTCCACACATGCTTGGTACTGTCCTGAAATGGCCTCAGTGTGGACTGGAGCAGGTTCTAGGATTTACATTTATGTCGTGGCATCTTTGCCCTCCATAAAACCCAACTATATTTGGGCTTCTCGTCTCTGTTTTCTTGTTCTAACTACCATTTATTAAAGAGAAAGTTAAATAAATGGATGGATGGATGGATGGATAGGAGATAGATAGATAGATAGATAGATAGATAGATAGATAGATAGATAGATAGATAGATAGATAAAATCACCGAGGTGAAGAAGACCAGGAATCAGACTAGGTGTTTATCTGAGTCCTTCAATCAATCGACTGTGTGATATTATGCAAGTCACTTTACCTCAATAGGCTCCAATGAGAAGGGGTAAACAAATAAATTTCTGACTCTCTAAACTCTAACAAATCTAACACACAGAGCCACAATTCTCAGACCGCCTCTGACTTACATCATCGCTTGTGACACATTGTTGTGACAGCTGATTCACATGTAACCACAGTGCATTCCGGAAGAAGTTTATCCGCTCACACTCTTGAGCCTCAAATGCCTGCAGAAAGATAGCTAGATGTAAAAACATATTCAGAAAAAAAGAACCCTTTACGCAGACTGGCTTGGGCTTATGAAATAATGTCAACTCTCAATGATCAATAAGCTTATTGGCCAATTTAGGGTTATATTCCCTGCACCTAGAGCCCCTGGTGGTATAGATGGATCATGGGTTTTGCTGTTCAGCAAAAGGTCAGGTGTTTGAGTCTACCCAGAGGCACTTCAGAAAACGAACTCTAGTTTGTCCTCAAGTTCTTTACCACTATGACTCTGGGCTACTAACCCCAAGATCAGCAGTTCAAACCCACCAGCCCTCCTCAGGGGAAAGATAGGGGTGTCTGCTTCCATAAAAATTTAGTCTTGGAAACCCCAGGAAGTGGGCCTTCTCTGCCCTACAGGGTTGCCGTGAGTCAAGGTGGCGATGAATTGACCCCATGGCAGTGAGTTTGACTTTGGGGTGAATCACAGAGCCCCCTCTGTGAGTTGGAATCGATTGGATGGCAGTGGAAAGAGGTGGGGCATTTCTACAAGCTCTGGCAGGAAGACCGGCCCCCGCCCCGTGCCTAGCCTCTTCCAGGGAGTCCTGGGTACCTCGCAGGCCTTGATGTGCTCGCTCTGCCACTCTTCCCGGACCCTCTCCAGCGTGGTGATGTGCAGCATATAGGCTTTATCTGCAGTCAAACGGAGGGGCCCCAATCCACAATATGTCCCCCCAAGGGTGACTCCCAGACCCCCCCAACAGGGTCTTCCCACGTGAGGAAAGAAGCCCTGGAGAGTTGAGGGGCGCTCGCAGACGCCCATGGAGCGCTCCACATTGAGAGGATGTGGCCACAGCTCTCACGAAAGCCATTGTGCAATAAGGTCAGGCGGACTTAGCCTTCTTTTTAAACACTAAATCGTGTCATTAGCACGGAACCATGTGCTACGAGGAAGGAGAGGCGAACGCTGTGACTCTTGTGCGGCTCCACCACGGGGAGCCCCAGGGGCTTTCGTTTTGGGGGGAAATGATCAGATGGAGCAGATGAGGGTGCAGAGGAGGGAACTACCTCAAACCCCAAAGAGATAGCAGGTGCTTTAGTGGGGGATTTCAAGATTGCTTCATGGCCCCAGGCACAAGAGTCTTGTTTCCTGTAAGACATGCTGAGAAGTACAAGTTGTTCCAACCATTTGGTTCCGATCTTAGATTTCATTGATGGAAAGGCCTTGGAATGGGCCTATTGCTTTCAGAATGGACAAGAGCCGAGAGGGCCGAAATGGAATCTAAACGCTTCATTGTTTCCCATAGTGGAATAATCCCGGGGAAGGTGGGGGACATGACTCTGCAAAAGCCAGTACCTACACTTTATCCTGGATTATGGGATGTACTGATTACAAGTCTTTAATTGGGGGGGGGCTGTCTTTTTTTTTTTTTCTGAAAAGGGGGCGGTAAGCCAAGTAAGTGTGAGACCCTGTGCAGAAAGATGCTTCTAGTAAATCAGAGTCTCAGAGAGCCTGGCTGATCACAAAGCAGCTGCTCGCATCATGCTGATTTAATGTGTGTGCTGAGCAAATCATCGGATTTGCTGGATTTATGAAGAACCTGTGCATTAGGATTGGAGGCCATGTAGCAACAGCCTGAGATATGTAGACGACATAACCTTGCTTGCTGAAAGATTAGGAACTTGAAGCACTTACTGATGAAGATCAAAGACCACAACCCTCCATAGGGATTGCAACTCAACAGAAAACAATAATCCGCACCCCTGGCCCAAGAGGCAGCATTCGGATCGATGGAGAAGATACTGACGTTATTGAGAATTACAGTTGACTTGAATCCACAGTCAGCATCCATGAAGGCGGCAGTAAAGAAGCCAAATGACATATTGCACTGGACAAATCGACCACAAAAGGTCCCTTGACAGTGTTAAAAGGCAAAGGCCTCTGGACAGTGTCACTTTGAGGGCACAGGAATGCTTGACCCGTGCCAGGGTACCTTCAGTCACCTCATGTGCAAGTGAAGCTGGACGATGAACGAGGAAGACCGAAGGAGATTGGATGGCTTTTCATCGATGGCAGCGGCAAAGAATACTGAACAGTAGCTGCAACATGAATGAACAGAGCCTCTGCAGCCAGGATGCTCCTGCACAGTGAAGAGAGCTAGACTTCATCCGAGGTACTTTGGACAAGTCTTTGAAGAAGGACATCATGTTTGGTAAAGTAAGCGGTCCGCACAAACAGGCGAAGACCCTCAAAGAAGTGGGTGGATGGTGCAGCTGCAACGACGGGCTCAAACACACCACATGACGAGGAAGGTGCCGGCCCCAGCGTGTTTTGCTCTCTCATCGGGCAAGGACCACTCTGGGTTGGCACTGAGGACATGGCACATGAAAGCAAGGATGAGCATTCTTCCCCCACCACCACGATGACCACTCAGTGGGAGGCGGTGGTACCTAATAGGACCAGGGCCCAAGAAAACGGAGCGCTTGCTTCCTCCCAGTGTCCCAGGTTCTGATACGCTCACTCACTCTCCTGCCCTCTCTTCACTCCCATGTGTCTTGTTAGTCCTATCAGACAGCTGTGCGTGCTTTATAGGAAGATATAATATAAAATCGACCTCAGAGATGTCACCCTCACCACCGGCCCCCCCTCGCTGTGAGCACAGCCCCTCTCACCAGCATCTTCTGCTGCAGTCTTTGACGTCGCCAACTTCACAAAAAGCTATGGGGCCAAAACACAGGACAGGGATTCAATAAATGCAATGACCATGCTGAGACGAAATCTAATTCGAGTACTTCCTACGTTTCCCTCCTGAGGAAATCATTCAACTTGCTCTCTACCCTTAAGGGAAATGCCCATAAAGTATCTTGACTTTCTGGAGACAGATCCCTGCCACCTGGTTGCTGACAATCTTGGTGTCCAGGCCTTATGAAATTCAATTTCTATGCCACCCGGACAGGAGGCAACCTGTGCACAAAGAGTATGTACGTGCTCTAAGTTCTGCAGAGAGGTGAAAAACATCCAACTGCCTCTCCACTCTTCTCCCCCCACCTCTACCCCCTGGCCACGTTTCTCTAGCTGAAAGCGGGGTTCCGACAACGTGAAAAGAGCTTTTCTGGTTCAGGGATCCTAAGGGCCTGGAAGGTCTTAGGTACAAAGTCCCTTCCAGAGGGAAATTCTGAATTAGCCTTTGGCTGATCTATGCAAATCTCAGGTGGTTCCGGGCACCAGCCCTCAACCAACTTCCGTTTCCTTCCAGGTACCTTTTCTTGTTGCTTCGGGTTCACCTGGCAGGCATTCCTCTGGACGGCCTGCTCAGCTTCATCCTTGTCCCGGCATTTCTGCTCGTAGCTTTTCTTTGCCTGCGGTGTTAGGAACCAGAAGGCGTTGTTGGTGTCCAAGAAAAGCCGTCAACCTAGGCCACAAGCTCAGCAAAGAACATGACCCTCAACTGGGATTGTGATCACCACTAGATACTGGGCTCTCGCTTAGTCATCCTGAAAGCTCTCGCTAGCCCCTCTCCAAGTTATGTCTGAAACGACAAGCCACAGACCCAGAGAAATGATTTGTAAATCATCTGTCTGACATCTACTAGGACTAGTACGTAGAAAATATATTCTTAAACCTCCCAAAGCTCAGATGTTCACAAAGCAAGCAACCGATCTGAATATGGATGAAAGATAGGAAGAGACCTTTCACCTAAGAAAACAGAGAGCAAATAAGCACATGAAATGATGTTCAACAACATGGGCTATTAGGGAAATAAATACAAATTAAACCACAATGAGATAACATTACACAATTATAAAAACTGCTAAAATTTTTTAATCATGGCAACATGCAACGTTGAAAAAAATGCAGAAGAACCAAGTGTGGTAGTCACCTACTCTGGTGTCAATTGAAGGATTAAGAGTGTAGGGGTGGAGTCTAGGCTGTCAATCTGGAGATAGCCAATGAGACCTCTGTGTGGGCATGGCCTTCTCCTGAGAATTCTGGGAAACCTGGTACGTCCTCCTTGGAGGTGGAAGACACCTCTCTCTCTCTGCCACTCCCTGGGAGACATTGCAGAAGACAAGACACATGGACACAACCAGACCTCAGAAGCTGGAGAAGCCACAGAGAGACCTGCGCCATCCTCGCAGTCGCTCTTACGTGTGAGCTCAATGTAGCAGCCACTGTGTCGGCCCATCTTGTTAAGGGCCTTGCCTTTGACACTGCTCTTCTACTCTACCAAGCATGAGGTCCCCCACCCCCACCAGCAACTGGTCTCTCCACGTCCAAAGTAAGCGAGATGAAGTTTCACCATCCTTACTTCTAAGGAACATTCTAGCTATACTACTTTCAAGACAGCTTTATTTATTCTCTTGGCAGTCCACGGTACTTTTAGCATTCTTTGCCAGCACATAACTCAAATGCATTGATTCTCCTTCCGTCTTCCTTATTCCATGTGCAACTTTCGCATGCAGATGAGACGACTGAAAAGTTCATGGCGAGGGTCAGATTTACCTTACTCGTCAAAGTGACATCCTTGCTCTTCAGCATTTTAAAGAGGTCTTGTGCAACAGATTGACCCAATGCAATGTGTGCTTTGATCTCTCGACTGCTGCTTCCATGAGCGTGGGTTGTGCAAGATGAACTCCCTGAAAACTTAATCTTTTCTCTCTTTTTCCCAAGGTTACCTATTGGTCCATTTGTGAGGATTTTTGTGTTCTTTACATTAAGTTATAATCCACATAAAAGGATGCAACCCTGGATCTCCATCAGCAAGTGCTTCAAGTCCTCTGCGCTTTCAGTAAGCGAGGTTGTGTCACCTGCATGTCGCAGGTCGCTCATAAGTCTTCATCCGATCTTGATCTTGATGCTGTGTTTTTCTCCACAGCCTCTCTGATGATTGGCCCAGCATAGAGAATTAATAGGTATGGTGAGATGATACAACTATATTTGAACAACTTCCTCTTGGTCCATCGTTGTTGGTGAGACTGTACACTTGTACAAGTCCTTTGGAAAACCTTGGGCAGCTTTTTCCATAAGCTGAACAGACAGCTACCACATTCCCCAGCAATTGTACTCCTGAGCATTTACCCCAAAGATAAATATCACCTAGAAGTCTGTACACAAGTGTTACAGCAGTTTTGTTTATAATATGCAAAGCTGATTATGCCAGAAGTCCTTCAGCAGTTGCATGATTTAAACAAACTATAGTACATCCATAACCTGGAAGACAACTCAGTAATAAAAAGAAATGAACTTCTGATAGGAGCAATCACTTGGATGACTCTCCAAAAATGTTTGCTGGAGGGAAGGGGTGAGGCACTCCAAAAGGTTTACTTTTTTCCTTTTTCCTTTTTTTTAAAAAATCATTTCATTGTGGGCTTATACAACTCTGATCACAATTCATCCATTGTGTCAAGCACATTTGTTGCCATTATCATTTTCAAAACATTTTCTTTCTACTTGAGCCCTAGGTATCAGCTTCTCATTTTCCCCCCTCCCTGCCTCATGAACCCTTGATAATTTATAAATTATTATTATTTTGTCATGTTTTACACTGACTGATGTCTTCCTTCACCCACTTTTCTGTTGTTCATCCCCCTGGGAGGGGGTTGTAAATAGATCATTGTGATCGGTTCCCCCTATCGCCCCCACCACCACCTTCCCCTTATCCTCCTGGTATGACTACTCTCAATATTGGTCCTGAGGGGTTTATATATCCTGGAATATCCCTGTGTTTCCAGCTCTCATCTGTACCAGTGTACGTGCTCTGGTCTAGCCAGATTTGTAAGGTAGAATTGGGGTCATGATAGTGGGGTGGGGGTGGGGGGGAAGCATTAAAGAACTAGAGGAAAGTTGTATGCTTCATTGGTGCTATACTGCACCCTGACTGGCTCGTCTCCTCCCCGCAACCCTTCTGTAAGAGGGTGTCCAGTTGCCTACAGATGGGCTTTGGGTCTCCACTCCACACTCTCCCTCATTCACAATGACATGATTTTTTTATTCTGGGTCTTTGATGCCTGATACCTGATCCTATCAACACCTCATGATCACACAGACTGGTGTGCTTCTTCCTTGTGGGCTTTGTTGCTTCTCAGATACATGGCCACTTGTTTACCTTCAAGCCTCCTTACTTCTTTTCTTGGCAACAGCTTTATTGAGCTATAGCTCACATACCATGCCTTCATCCTTTCAAAGAGAGCCAACAGTCCCATGGTTCTAACGATCTTTCTGAGAGGTTCGACATTGAAGATTCTTGGAATGATGAAGTCTGAGATAGAGAGCATGAATAGTGATCAAGGTGAAAGAGGAGGGCAGGGATCAAGGAAGTGGGCGTGGCGTTAGAAGGGCAACTTGTGGGATCTTCGTAGTGATGGAATTGTGTATCTAGACATATCAATGTTGATATCCTGTTTGTGATATTTTACTTGGTTTTGCATGGCCATGAGAGAAAATGGGTCAGGGTACATGGGATTTCTTTATAGTCTTTCTTACAACTACATATCAATCTATATTGATCTTAAGATTTAAAAAGCTATCATTTAAAAAAAGAAATCATTCGGTAAAGTTCTCAAGACCATACTTAGAACTCTTCTGTAATTTTAAGATCCCCACCCCCAAAAAAAGCTCGAATTTTTAAAACAGCATTATACAATTATGCCACCCCTCTAGTATTTGATTTTTTTAAATTTTATTGAGGGCTCATACATTTCTTATCATAGTCCATACATACATCCACTGAGTTTACTTGATTTTTAATGTACTTTCTTTTTTAAAACAAGGAAGATAAAAACCAGCATCAAGGAAAGATGAGTGACACCCGAGCCAAGCAACAAGGAAAGAAAACACACAAAAAAACAATATGTAACTGCTTTCTTGCTTCCGTCTTCTCCTGGGGGTGAGACGAATTCTCAAACTAGGAAGAATGTGAGAATATATTCAGGAAACCCATTGCAAAATAAGAGATATTAGAAGCTCACCTTGGCAGGGGCCTGTTCAGATCTCCAGGCCCAGGAGAAAATGACAAGGCACAGAAGGAAGCCCTAGATGCCCACCGAGCACTTTAGGAATCTTAGGAAAGATTTGGAGAAAGGGAGAAATGTCCAAAAGCAAGCTATCTTGTCTAATACTCAAAATGAGGCAGAATATAGCATCTGAAATTTTCAAACGTGCTACCAAACACTCCCCCCCCAAAAAAATATGCAGAAAGCATTGCTAAATCTATTTGTGTCATTGTTGTTGTTGTTGTTGTTAGGTGCCATTGGGCTGGTTCCAGCACACAGCGACACCACGTACAACAGAGGGAAACACGGCAACATCGCCACACCTGCTGTGCTTGAGCCCCTGGTGGTAGCCAGTGTGTCAGCCTGTGCCGTTGAGGGTCTTCTTCTTTTAATGACATTCTGCTTTGCCAAGCATGATGTTCTTTTCCAGGCCTGGCAAAAAGTTGCCGTCCCAGAAACTCACAGGGACAGTTCTGCCCTGCCCTAACCCTTTAAAGACATCTTGTGAAACAAACTTGACCCCTGCAATGCATGGTTTGAATTCTTGGCTGCTACGTCCACCAGCGCTGCCTGTGAATCCAGGCAGAAGGAAATCCTTGCCGACTTCAGTCTTCTGCTCCATTCACCGCGATGCTCCCTTGGGTCCAGTGGCGAGACCTGGGTTTCCGTTGCACTGCGTGGTAATCCACACTGACGGCTGCACTCGGTGCTTTTCCTCAGCAAGAGCGTCAAGTCCGCCTCACGTGCAGCCAGACGGTGTCGTCTGCGGGTGGCGGGTGGCTGGTGGACGTTCCTGGACCCCTGATGCTGTGCTCTTCTTCAGGCAGTCCACTCGCTCGGGCTATTGGCTCCGCACGCAGACCGAGTGAGCACGAAGGGAGGGTACAGCCCTGACACCTAACGCTGCTGATTTTAGATCTTTGTCTTTCCTTGTCCTAGTCGAACAGCTACCTCTTGGTCCATGTACAGGTTCCGCACATGAGCGCAATGAAGTGTTGTGGAAGGCCCATTCTTTTCGATGTTCTTTATAGTCTGTGATAGTCCACACAGCCAAATGCCTTTGAATACTCAAAAAAAACCCAAACCACATCTTGGCTCTGTGTACTTGTTTCATTTTCTTCAGCTCCACATGAACTTGCTTATGAGCCATGACCATCGGTTCCACAGGCAGCCCCTGGCCCAGGCACTCCTTCTGCACGGTTCTCAGTTTGTCCTGAAGGTCATCACACAATACGTCTTCTTTGATTGTGAGAAAGCTTGCCCCACATCGTCTCAAAACATAAAAGCTTAGGGGGGAAAATCCTGAGTTAACCAACCCGATGTCTCTATCAGTTAATAGTGTTGGCTAATACAGGATTGTCCCTGAAACTTTTTTCCTTTTTTAATTTTGGAGACTAGGGTGCACGTGACCATGGTATTTTCAAGCACCTCATAAGCATGAGAAACTTGGACATGGAATAAGGAAAACTGAAGAATGGATGCTTTTGAATTATGGCGCTGGCTAAGAATATTGAAAGTACCACGGACTGCCAAAAGGACAAACAAATCTGTCTTGGAGGAAGTACGGCCAGAGTGCTCCTTAGAGGTAAGGATGACAAGACTTCATCTCACATGTTTTGGACATGTTGTCGGGGCAGACAAGTTCTTGGAGAAGGACATCATGCTTGGGAAAGTAGAGGAGCAGTGAAAAAGGAAGGCTCTTGATGAGACGGGTGAACACAGTGGCTGCAACCATGGGCTCACACGTGAGAACCACTGGGAGGAAGGCGCAGGACTGGGCGGTGTCTCGTTCTGTTGTACACAGGGGTCACTATGAGTTGGAACGGACCCAGTGGCACCTACCAACAAGAGTAAAGCCTGGATTACCCAGTCCCTATTTCTCATTTGCATCAAAGAAAAGCACGTTGCAGCAGAACAGACTGTGTGTGGTACCAGTCTTGGTGGCGCTTTCTTTGGGGCCTGGGTTATTAGAGCTATGCCATCCCACCGAGTACCCTGATGACAGTTTTGGGCAAAGATAGAGTCATTCATGTCCCAATAAAGGAGTTCACTGTATCTCGCGATCAATAAGTTCACGACAAACAAGGGTGAAGCTCCTAGCAATCAGTTTGGTTTTGCTTCTTAAATAGTTTTTTTAATTATTATTAAAAGATCATTTTATCGGGGGGCACTTACAGCTCTTATAACAATCCATGCCTCAATTGTACCAAGCACATTTGTACGTATGCTGCCATCATTAGTTTCTAAATATTTACTTTCATTTGAGCCCTTGGTATCAGCTCCTCTCTTTTCCCTCCATGCCCCCACCCTCGTGACCCCTTGAGCAATCAGTTTTCATTCTGTCTTTTTAAGCATTTTTTTTAATAAAGAAAGCAGGCTTTTATAAGTTGCACATATTTAAGACAATCAAAATTCAACAGAGTCAAAGGGGGGAAAAATCAGCATCATTCAATATATCTACTTCTATGTGTTGGCCTAAAATATTTACATTGACTTGATATACTTCTCCAGGTTACCAGAACTGCAAAACCCAAGTTCACTGCCATCGAGTGGATTCTAACTCAGAGTGACCCTACAGGACAGAGTGGTGCTGTCCCAGTGGGTTTCTGAGGTTGTAAATCTTGTAACCTACTACACCATCAAGGTTCCTTCATACCAGAACAATCACATTATTGTATTTCCATTATCTGGTGTCATCCTCAATCCCTCCAAGTTCTTTAGAAAGAAGGATGCTAATCCACTAAAGGCCATTGTCTCTAAAACACTGCAGTAATAAATGATAACATAACTGAAATGTGATTTGAGCAGGACTGTATTCACAGACAGCATAAGATTTCAGAGAATGTCACCATCACACACACACACACACACACACCAGCGAGGGGGAAACAAGTGTGACTCACGTCCATGGTTTTCTTGAATTGCAAGCTCTTTTGTTTGTGGGCAGCATCCATGATAAGCTCTGTCTATGAAGAAACAACAGGCACTGTTAGTAATAATAAAAACCAAAAATAATATTCTTACAGCTCATTGTGACACTAAGTCCTCGACATTGACGGTGTCATTTTGTCCTCCCATAAGGACAGTCGGACCCCCATTCTCAAGCAAGGAAGGTGCAGCCCAGAGAGGTCTCAAGGCTGGTCAATGGGGCCTGCCTTTGAATATGGGCAGCCTGGTACCACCAAAAATCCTCATTGCCATCGAGCTGCTGATAACCCATAGCGACCCTCCTCCATCACCTCCAGAGAGTCGCTGCAGACCTTTGGAGTTGGGGAATTTTGCTTTCAAAAGAGAGATTTTAAACTTTTATTGAAGCGCAATTTCCATTCTTGAGAAGGGGAGTTGTTTTCTGTGAACATAGACCAGCACAGTTCTTGTTATGGGTTGGATTCGTAGCACCCTCTGCACAAGAGAAGCAAACATGGCCCGGTCCTGCACCGTCCTCACCGCTGTTATCCTGGAGCCCACGGTTGCAGCCACTAGGTCAATCCATCTTGCTGTGGGGCCTCTTCCTGTTGGCGGATCTCTACTTTGACCAGTCTGATATCCTCCCCCAGGGACTTGCACATGCTCACTCCCTTGACATTCATCAACATCACACCCTTGACTGGCCAGGAGCCCAGGCAGCATGGAGGGAATCAACAGCTCTCGGGTAACTAAGAAATGCTGCTCTGCTACTGTGTCCTCCTTTCCTGTGTTAAAAGCTTTTCTTAGCTGCTCAACAGCTGTTGATACCAGTGAGTGAATGGTGTTGTTGGAAGCCTGGTGATTCAGTGGGGTATGCACTGGGCTGCTAAACGCAAAGTCAGCACTCTGGAACCACCAGCCAATCCATGGGAGAAAGATGAGACTGTTTACTCCCATAAACAGAGTCTCCGAACCCCCAAGGAACCTGTTCTATAGAGTAGCTATGAGTCAGAATCAACTCAATGGCAGTGAGACTTGTGTAGTAGAGCCCTGTGTCCAGAGTCCCTGTAACTAACCAGTGGGCTGTTCTACTGAGCTCCCTGAATTTAATGGTAAAAAAGAACCACAAACAAGTCCTGGTGGTGCTGTGGGTTAGCTGTTGGGCTGCTAACCACAAGGTCAATAGTTTAAACCCACCAACAGCTCCTTGGGAGAAAGATGAGGCTGTCTGCTTCCATAGAGATTGACATCTTGGAAACCCTCGAGAGGGTCACTGTGAGTTGGAATCAACTCAATGGCAGTGGGTTTGGTTTTGATTTAGTATTTCATGTGTCACAACTGTGTGAGTTCTTTTGTCTCCATTTTCTCGACAGTAAAGGTTGATCAATTCACCCAAGACAGCATTGTAGCAAACAGAAGAGTTAGAATTCAAACCCAGGAACCAATGCCCTTGGTTCCAACCACTAGCCTAAATCATGATTATTCTTATAATAGCTCTATGAAGCCAAAGAGAGGTGCAAAAGAGAGAGGCATGCAATAATTCAAAAGAAATCATGACATTGTTTGGGGCCAAAATAACATAATATAAGATAATAGCGTTGAAAATGAATTGCAGGTGTGATTCTGCTTTCTTCTGGGTTCATCAAAGTAAAGGTTGTGCTTGTCTTTTTCCAGGAACCTCACACAGATACACCGTTGGATGGCCTCTCAGGACAGTTTGAAAATTGGGGAGGGTCTCACTTCAATCGTGGGTTTTGTTGAGTACCTGAAACTCCCTGGGGGTGGGGGGCACAAGGAGCCCATAGGAAACGGGGTGGCCAATCGCAGCCCAGTAGAAAGTGAGGGGTCTGGAGGCAGCCATGCACCTGCTAATGAAGAGATGCCATAGAAATAAAATAAATGGAGGCAGCTCCAACATGAATCCCCACGGACAGATACCCCGGCAAATGCGGGGATTGCAGGCAGGGAGGCGTGGTTCACAAGCACAATCACATCCCTCTTCCTGGAGGAGAATCGGGGTTTATGCATTTAATGATGGTTTCTGGTTTTTCAGACAAGCCCATCAGCAATGTTGGCCTGTCCCATGGTCCTGTCTAATCTGAGCACACACATGGCTGCTCTCCCATCTGGGAGCTCTTACTCTTTTATACTTTGTAGTTCTTCATCTCCAAGTCCTACAAGATACCTGCTTCAAGTGCCTCTCAGGTGTGTGTGAGGGGTGGGGGGGCTTGCAAAGCTCCATCAGCCAAAACGTTTTCCTTCATAGCATGTCTCGCTCTGTCTTTAGGATTCTTGGGATTTGAGAGTTCTCAGGATTTGTAGAGGGCAAGCAGCCCCACCTGCTAACCTGGTAGGTTTGGGCCCTGGGGCCCTAAGGTGATAGGCTTTGCTCAGTGAACTAGGGACTGAGGCTTCAGATGCCAAGTCCAACTCTGTATGCTACACCCCTTGATTGAAGTCTCTGTATGTCCATGTTCACTTATTGGATTGACCTACTTATGGAATTCCAAGTGAGTCAAAGATCCTCTTTCAGGTCTCAGGGAAGCTGTGTTAACCTGGTTGATAAGCAAATCCAGAAACACTCATATGTGTATAAGAGAACGCTTTATATATCAAAGAGCAATTGTATATTGCTCAGCCAGTCCATATCAAGTCCATAAGTCTGATCTTAGCCCATATGTCTGATACTAGTCTATAAACTCCTCTTTAGACTCACGCAGCACATGCAATGATGCTGAATGCAGGGAGATCACAGGCTGGCGGGTGGAAAGTCTTGTGGACCCAATGCCAGTAGAAGCATCTCAGCGCTGGCTCCCCCAGCTCTCTGAGTGGCTCCTCAACGGGAAGGTGAAGCAAAGAGAGTGTGTGTGGCCCACCTCCAGGGAGAAAGGGTGGGAGTTGCAAGAATCCTCATGAGAAGGTCATGCCCACCAGGAGGCATCATCAGGCTGTGACCTGATTGGCAGGCTAAACTCCACCCCTTCACTCTGTTTATCAAGTTGACATGAAATTATATAACTGCCACAGAAGTGTTGCTTCTAGGGCTCTGAGACTTTCCACTCAGACCAAGTTCAACTGAGTTTTGATTGTATTTCGACTACTGATAATTCAGAGAGGCACCAAAAACACAGTCAGCTCTTTTATGGGGTGAAGTGAAGCAAGAAGGAGCGAAAGAGGAAAAAGATTTGCAAATGAACTTGTGGTCAGCTTTGCAGCCAGGACCTCGGCGGCCCACTTAGCGGTCTCACACACTCAGACTGCGTTCTGAAAACGTGGAAGCATCGCTCTCGGTAGCCACAGAGGCCCTTTCTTTACACCCTTGGCACCGAAATGTACTGTGACCATTCCATCCGTCCCAGCTGAGGCAGTAGAACAAAACGTGGGCACCAGGGCTGGGAGTGACTGGCTATGCGCATCCCTGCCTGCTAAGGGTGTTCCGGCTGGGGAGGGAACCTGAGCACCCTCAAATATCAAGGCTCCTGAGAACGGCGCCCAAGACGCTCCCTACTAGGCCAACACCCACGAGAGACAGACTCATCACTCACTCCCTCACCCAGACTGCCTTTCATTCTGTTGCTTTTAACATCCATATTCCTGCACCAGAAGATCACCCAGAGCCGCACAGATGAACGTGCCCCTGCCCCCATTCAAGTGGCACCTTCGTTCCTCTACCATGTAAGCCTCGTCACACTCTATATCAGGATTCCTGTCTTGTATCCATCTCTCTGGCCAGACTCTACACCGAGAAAGGGTCAGATGACCATGTCTGAATTTATTGATTACACGTATGTGCCATACATGGTCTAACCAGCCATCCCACCCATACCTCCCCTACTCGGTTCACTAAAGGAGATCAATTGAAACTTCCCTTGATGACTAAAAAGAGCTTATTTCCAAGAAGTGGATGAACAGAGCGCACTAGCTTTGACCGATGAAAAAGAGAAGTTAGCATGGACACATTTTCTCCCAAAGTTTGGTTAAAAGAAAAAAAAAATCCTCCCCCCAACTACCATGACCCCAATTCTGCCTTGCAAACCTGGTTAGACCAGATGATGCACAGCGGTACAGATGGGAATTGGAAACGCAGGGAACCTAGGACAGATGAACCCCTCAGGACCAGGGGTG